TCACAAGGTCCTTTGCTGTTGTTCTGGGATTGACTTGCACTTTTCGCACCAAAGTACGTTCATCTCTAGGAGACAGAACACGTCTCCTTCCTGAGTGGTATGACGGCTGCGTGGTCCCATGGTGTTTATACTTGCGTACTATTGTTTGTACATTGCTCCCAAGGATGAACCAGACTTGTGGAGGACTACCATTTTTTTTCTGAGGTCTTGGCTGATTTCTTTTGATTATCCCATGATGTCAAGCAAAGAGGCACTGAGTTTGAAGGTAGGCCTTGAAATACATCCAAAGGTACACCTCCAATTGACTCCAATGATGTCAATTAGCCTATCAGAAGCTTCTAAAGCCATGACATCATTTTCTGGAATTTTCCAAGCTGTTGAAAGGCACAGTCAACTTAGTGTGTGTAAACTTCTGACCCACTGGAATTGTGATACAGTGAATTATTAGTGAAATAATCTGTCTGTAAACAATTGTTGCAAAAATGACTTGTGTCATGCACAAAGTAGACGTCTTAACCGACTTGCCAAAACTATAGTTTGTTAACAAGAAATTTGTGGAGTGGTTGAAAAACGAGTTTTAATGACTCCAACCTAAGTGTATGAACACTTACGACTTCAACTGTACTAGGTTACGAAATCCAACTTTTTGGATGTACTGTTAATGAAACGTCAGAGAAAGACCCTACTGAACGATTCAGAACATGAATAATTGTCACGACTTCCTCCGAAGCGGCCTCCTCTCCTTGTTCGGGCAGGCTTCTTCGTTCGTCGTCATCGGCCTTCTAGCCACTGCCGCTCCTCATCTCATCATTCCATTTTTTTTGTCTTGTTTATTACACACACCTGGTTCATATCCCCTCATCAGTACCTGTAGAAGTGTTCCCTCTGCCCCCTTGTCTTTGTGTGTGATTGTTTATTGTGAAGGTTATATTAGCTCGGTGGAGCTCTGTGTATGTCGTATCGGTGGGATATTTCACCCGTGTGCCTTGTTGTTTCCAGTGCGTCTGATTTCCGCACTGGAGTTGTTTGACGCCCTGCTGCGTACCGCTGTGTTTTCGGAATAAACCTTTTATTCTCTGATTTACTCTCCTGCGCCTGACTCCTTCAAAATCACTCACCACAATAATCATTAGGGTTAGGCGGTATCCATATTTTCATACAGTATTACCGGAAGTACACACAAGGGCAGCTATAAAAAATAAAATAAACGCTAAAGACAATTTAGGCAACATGGATCTTGATTCAGGAGGTTTGGTTACTAGAAGGGCTTTACTTGAGGTGAACAAGTTACCCAGTTCACCTCAAGGGTGTTTCCGTAGGGGCAACTACGGTGGAAAGTCCACAGTATGCCAAGAGTGTGCAAAGCTGTCATCAAGGCAAAGGGTGGCTATTTGAAGAATCTCAAATATTTTTTGATTTGTTTAACACTTTTTTGGTTACTACATGATTCCATATGTGTTATTACATAGTTTTGATGTCTTCACTATTATTCTACAATGTAAAAAATAGTCAAAATAAAGAATAACCCTTAAATGAGTAGGTGTGTCCAAACCTTTAACTGGTAGTGTATGTAAAGACAAGATTAAATCAAGAATAGTCTGATGGGTGACAATATTAGCCTATCACTTGTGAATTATATATTATCACTTGTGAATGATGCCCAGCGTAAGGTAAGAAACAATGCCTTTTTTTGGCGACTTTTTCTAATCATAGTCACACACCTCATGTAGCCTAGCCCATATATATGTTTATATGCTTATATGTTTTGACAAGGTTTGTATCACAACTAAAGTGGCCAAATAACTTCTAGAAATTAAGCACATTAATCCGCTTTACAAGGGGTGTAAAGCCTAACTGGCATACATAAGCAGCACGTGAGTTTCAAGTTTGGGGAAGATAATTTTCACCATAAAAATGCACCTTTATAATAAAAGCATTACATGCATAATCGCATTAACAGTCCCTTTTGATAATGGTGTTTTCCCACTAATGGAACATTCGCGCTTATAGCCTACTGCCGTGTGTGCATTGCTGCGCTTATAATTTGAAGAAATAGCCTAATAGTTTATCACATTTTAAGCTAAACGTTCTGATCTGTTGTGTCAGCCTCATTGTGTAGAAAAAAAGTGGGATGCTACTGGTTGTATTAATTTGGGATCTATCGCATCCCACAACTGTCCCAGACTATATTTGGAATATTTATTTCTCGCACAGAATAGAATCGGTCAACTTTTGTATTATGGGGGATAGTAGATTGACATAGGCTAATGCTTTTGCAGTTCGTTAGGCCTACTCATCTTGTTTGCTGACGAAAAGTAAATGTGGACAGTTCTTCCAATATCTTCAATATGCACCTCGGAATTGGATAAGGATGCACGCAGTTGCGTCCCCGAAGTGGTAGCCTGTGAGAAAGACCCGATCACGCATGTAAGTGAGAGGTCCTTCGGGGGACACGCAGCACAAAGGGAGAAGGGACCAACGGCCACACAAGGCGTGGATTTTTTTAGGGTGCATTATGGCCACACAAAGGGGATGCCGCTGTGAAATTCAAGGCATTATCAAGTGCTTGTCAAATTGTGAATTAGAAACTGATGAAGTGTGTACTGCCTGCGCAAAAAAACAAAGCTCATGCCTTTCAAGCAACTTTTTTCAAATCATCATTAGATTCGCATCATGTAGCCTTACAATGTATTAAAAGTCAAAACATATAGGCCAAAGTTTGTAGAACAACTAAAGTTACATTAATAACTCTAAATTAAGCACATAGGAGTACCTATTTCTTTGCTAACCGCACAACACAGAACTCCCTCAAATCGATTGGAGAAAATATCCTTTCTATTTTATTCAGCTTTGTTCAATTGTATTCTTCATACTACAAAATAATATAAAATAATGTAGCAGAATTCTAGCCAAATCTTGTCTGCTAAATTAACTAGTGTAGCCCACAGCCATATGGCATAGCCAGATCAGGACCTAACATAAGGACAACTCAGAGTATGCTATTATTTTCTTCTGAAATAGACTACATTTTCTTCATATCATGTTTCTTTAGACCTGTCTAAAATAAAACATGGATTTATTGTGAAGGTGTAGGCTATATTACATGGATTTAATACGACTTTTTAAAATGTAGATGTTCCAAAGGTCTGCATCATTGGCTCGTAGGCTATGTGTGGAAGCCAGGAGATGCTAAATGTGTTTATGTTAATTAATGGTCAATTACCGTGAGACCGACAGTTATTTGCTTGACAATCACCGGCTGGCAAAATTTCGTGACCGCCACAGGCCTAATTATGATGACTTCCGGAGGACGTCCTCCAACCTATCAGAGCTCTTGCAGCATGAATAAACATATTATCCATCCACTCAAAGGATCAGAGAATGAATCTAGTATCGAAAGCATAAACTACAGCTAGCTAGCACTGCAGTGTGTGGTGAGTAGCTGAATGACAATAGTTGAACAGTTTTGAACAAATTAATTTCTTCAAAAATAAAGGAGAAGCAGCAGAGAGAGAGAGAGCTAGTTATATTTTGTTGTATTTTTTTTATTCTACTTAGTTTACCTTTCACTTACTTAGCCAGCTAATGCAGCTACTTTAGCCTGTTCAACAACCTGACTCAAACAGTGAGACAAATGCTATTTATGTTAGCTAGCTGGCTAAGGCTATTCAACACTGCAACTCTTCCAAGTGAAAGTAAGCTTTTGGTTTTATTAATTTATTGCCACCGGGGCTGGCCGGTGTAACTGCTAAACAGCTTGCTGTACACTGTATTGTGTGATTGTACATATGGATTGGATTGTGGGTTTACTAACGAGTTAGTTCTAGTAGCTATGTTGACTATGACGTTAGATAATATGGTGACAACTATGTAGGCTGTGTTGTGGTTAATGGTTATGGTATGAAGGTTTGGCTTGGAGAGGTTTTTTCACTTGGTCACAGACAGCTGTTGTGTTGTGCACTGAAGTCCACAAACAAAGGGAGAAGGTGAGGAGGAGAGCGCATAGATGCGAGAAGGATTTATACAATGAGGAAAGTGATGATGCTGTATGTGGCTTCTAAGAAAGTGAACTGTGTGCGTGGGTGATCAGGGGTATATTTATTCTGCCGATTCTGTTGCAAAATGTTTCTTAAATGGAAGCAAATGCAACGAAACAGGGACGAACCGAGCTGAATTATTTCCAATAGAAACTTCTTGTTTTAGTTGCGAAACTGAAGGTTTTGCAACTGTTTCGACAAATGATTACACCCCAGATCAGCTAGATGCAGGCAAGAGTGTGCAAGATGGTATTGAATGAGTCACTGTCTGTCACCTTGATTACTCCAATTTGTCTCTCGACCTGTGCACCTACGTTAGAAACTTGTAGGCTAGGTTGTAGCAACCTCATGATGGGTATAGGGCAAATTCAAGTATCATGTAGTAGCCTAAACCTATCGATGTTACATTGAGCTGGGTAAATGGAATATGAATGACAGTCATCCAATATGCTGTAATAGAAATAAGGCCATGCTCAAAGAAAACAAAATCATCCTCCCTAATCTTAAACGGCACCGACCGCCACCGGTATATATGGTATGTCGTCCAAGCCGAATATTCATATTTGTCTTGGTAAAATGTACTTATAACATAAGAAAGTGAAGTGTCATCATCAAAGTGCGTTTTTACCCACTCTGGGCGGAGTGGGTGGACACCCTACATAGACTGATTCAGACTAGACCTACTCCAATAGAGGGGCGCTTGGGACTGGCTAGAAAGCAGCCAGTACAATCAGTATCCTCTCAGACATTAGGCATGGTTACCAGGGTCGTGTTTACTAGGGCACACATTGGAAAACGTTCTAAAAGGTTTCACAATGTAAGCGTTTCTTATTGGACAAGTCCTGATAGTCTCTCCCTGTTTCAGTCAGTTTTCTTCAGTTTTGTGCCTAATGAAAAAGACCCAGTATGTTGGCGGGTATGGGCGTGGGTAGTGGGTGGGTATGAGGGTGGGTATGAGGGTACCTGTGGGTCTGCCAGGCGGGTGATGTTGGGATTGAGGTAGTAGACGATGCCCTGGGCAGCACCAGGCAGGGTGATACCACGTACCAGCAGGATGGCCAGCATCACGTAAGGGAACGTGGCGGTAAGGTAGACCACCTGGAACAACAGTAGGATAGCTTCTAGATCAATCATATCTTGTACTGTACATCTCAAATCCAACCGAAAATGGCATGATACCTTCTAAAATCTAGATTCTATATCAATCACATATTTAACTGTACAGCTATGATACCTTCTATGTCAACCACATATATATACTGTACATTTCAAATCCATTGGCCATGAAGGGTTAAGTGGAATCCTTCATGTACAGTACTCCCATAGCATAGGAGGTAGGATTACTGTAGGTCTATAGCAGGGCTGTTCAATTCCGGTCCTGGAGGGCTGAAACACTTTTATGTTTCTACCTGGTAGTTAATTGCACTCACCTGGTGTCCCAGGTCTGAATCAGTCCCTGATTAGAAGGAGTGCATGAAAACCATAGGAATAAGCCAGAATGGGTGTTGTGTGTGATGGTTTTTGGTTAAGCTCATTGGTGAGTGTTTTCTTGAGGTGGTTTCTGAAAAAGTATTTCTATGTGTGGTATCTGAGTCTGGAATTGCTCAGGGGTGTGTTTGAGGGTTGGTGTGGGAGATGTATGTGTGTGTGTGTGTGTATATATATACAGTGGGGAAAAAAAGTATTTAGTCAGCCACCAATTGTGCAAGTTCTCCCACTTAAAAAGATGAGAGAGGCCTGTAATTTTCATCATAGGTACACGTCAACTATGACAGACAAAATTAGAAAAATAAATCCAGAAAATCACATTGTAGGATTTTTTATGAATATGTTTGCAAATTATGGTGGAAAATAAGTATTTGGTCAATAACAAAAGTTTTGTCAATGCTTTGTTATATACCCTTTGTTGGCAATGACACAGGTCAAACGTTTTCTGTAAGTCTTCACAAGGTTTTCACACACTGTTGCTGGTATTTTGGCCCATTCCTCCATGCAGATCTCCTCTAGAGCAGTGATGTTTTGGGGCTGTCGCTGGGCAACACGGACTTTCAACTCCCTCCAAAGATTTTCTATGGGGTTGAGATCTGGAGACTGGCTAGGCCACTCCAGGACCTTGAAATGCTTCTTACGAAGCCACTCCTTCGTTGCCCGGGCGGTGTGTTTGGGATCATTGTCATGCTGAAAGACCCAGCCACGTTTCATCTTCAATGCCCTTGCTGATGGAAGGAGGTTTTCACTCAAAATCTCACGATACATGGCCCCATTCATTCTTTCCTTTACACGGATCAGTCGTCCTGGTCCCTTTGCAGAAAAACAGCCCCAAAGCATGATGTTTCCACCCCCATGCTTCACAGTAGGTATGGTGTTCTTTGGATGCAACTCAGCATTCTTTGTCCTCCAAACAAGACGAGTTGAGTTTTTACTAAAAAGTTATATTTTGGTTTCATCTGACCATATGACATTCTCCCAATCCTCTTCTGGATCATCCAAATGCACTCTAGCAAACTTCAGACGGGCCTGGACATGTACTGGCTTAAGCAGGGGGACACGTCTTGCACTGCAGGATTTGAGTCCCTGGCGGCGTAGTGTGTTACTGATGGTAGGCTTTGTTACTTTGGTCCCAGCTCTCTGCAGGTCATTCACTAGGTCCCCCTGTGTGGTTCTGGGATTTTTGCTCCCCGTTCTTGTGATCATTTTGACCCCACGGGGTGAGATCTTGCGTGGAGCCCCAGATCGAGGGAGATTATCAGTGGTCTTGTATGTCTTCCATTTCCTAATAATTGCTCCCACAGTTGATTTCTTCAAACCAAGCTGCTTACCTATTGCAGATTCAGTCTTCCCAGCCTGGTGCAGGTCTACAATTTTGTTTCTGGTGTCCTTTGACAGCTCTTTGGTCTTGGCCATAGTGGAGTTTGGAGTGTGACTGTTTGAGGTTGTGGACAGGTGTCTTTTATACTGATAACAAGTTCAAACAGGTGCCATTAATACAGGTAACGAGTGGAGGACAGAGGAGCCTCTTAAAGAAGAAGTTACAGGTCTGTGAGAGCCAGAAATCTTGCTTGTTTCTAGGTGACCAAATACTTATTTTCCACCATAATTTGCAAATAAATTCATAAAAAATCCTACAATGTGATTTTCTGGATTTTTTTTTCTCAATTTGTCTGTCATAGTTGACGTGTACCTATGATGAAAATTACAGGCCTCTCTCATCTTTTTAAGTAGGAGAACTTGCACAATTGGTGGCTGACTAAATACTTTTTTTCCCCACTGTATATATATATATATATATATATATATATATATATACACACACACACACAGTTGAAGTCGGAAGTTTACATACACTTAGGTTGGAGTCATTAAAAAACTTGTTTTTCAACCACTCCACAAATTTCTTGTTAACAAACTATAGTTTTGGCAAGTCGGTTAGGACATCTACTTTGTGCATGACAAGTCATTTTTCCAACAATTTTTTACAGACAGATTATTTGACTTATAATTCACTGTATCACAATTCCAGTGGGTCAGAAATTTACATTCACTAAGTTGACTGTGCCTTTAAACAGCTTGGAAAATTCCAGAAAATGATGTCATGGCTTTAGAAGCTTCTGATAGGCTAATTGACATCATTGGAGTCAATTGGAGGTGTACCTGTGGATGTATTTCAAGGCCTACCTTCAAACTCAGTGCCTCTTCGCTTGACATCATGGGAAAATCAAAAGAAATCAGCCAAGACCTCAGAAAAGAAAATGTAGACCTCCACAAGTCTGGTTCATACTTGGGAGCAATTTCCAAACGCCTGAAGGTACCACATTCATCTGTACAAACAATAGTACGTAAGTATAAACACCATGGGACCACGCAGCCGTCATACCGCTCAGGAAGGAAACGCGTTCTGTCTCCTAGAGATGAACGTACTTTGGTGCGAAAAGTGCAAATCAATCCCAGAACAACAGCAAAGGACCTAGTGAAGATGCTGGAGGAAACAGGTACAAAAGTATCTATATCCACAGTAAAACGAGTCCTATATCGACATAACCTGAAAGGCCGCTCAGCAAGGAAGAAGCCACTGCTCCAAAACCGCCATAAAAAAGCCAGACTACGGTTTGCAACTGCACATGGGGACAAAGATCGTACATTTTGGAGAAATGTCCTCTGGTCTGATGAAACAAAAATAGAACTGTTTGGCCATAATGACCATTGTTATGTTCGGAGGAAAAAGGGGGAGCTTGCAAGCCGGAGAACACCATCCCAACCGTGAAGCACGGGGGTGGCAGCATCATGCTGTGGGGGTGCTTTGCTGCAGGAGGGACTGGTGCACTTCACAAAATAGATGGCATCATGAGGAAGGACAAAGTTATGTGGATATATTGAAGCAACATCTCAAGACATCAGTCAGGAAGTTAAAGCTTGGTCGCAAATGGGTCTTCCAAATGGACAATGACCCCAAGCATACTTCCAAAGTTGTGGCAAAATGGCTTAAGGACAACAAAGTCAAGGTATTGGAGTGGCCATCACAAAGCCCTGACCTCAATCCTATAGAAAATGTGTGGGCAGAACTGAAAAAGCGTGTGTGAGCAAGGAGGCCTACAAACCTGACTCAGTTATACCAGCTCTGTCAGGAGGAATGGGCCAAAATTCACCCAACTTATTGTGGGAAGCTTGTGGAAGACTACCCGAAACGTTTGACCCAAGTTAAACAATGTAAAGGCAATGCTACCAAATACTAATTGAGTGTATGTAAACGTCTGACCCACTGGGAATGTGATGAAAGAAATCAAAGCTGAAAGAAATAATTCTCTACTATTATCCTGACATTTCACATTCTTAAAATAAAGTGGTGATCCTAACTGACCTAAGACAGGGAACTTTTACTAGGATTAAATGTCAGGAATTGTGAAAAACTGAGTAAATGTATTTGGCTAAGGTGTATGTAAACTTCTGACTTCAACTGTATATAAACTACCAGTCAAAAGTTTGGACACACCTACTCATTCAAGGGTTTTCCTTTATTTTGACTATTTTTTACATTGTAGAATAATAGTGAAGACATCAAACTATGAAATAACACATATGGAATCATGTAGTAACCAAAAAAGTGTTAAACAAATCAAAATATAATTTATATTTGAGATTCTTCAAATAGCCACCCTTTCCTTGCTGATAGCTTTGCACAATATTGGCATTCTCTCAACCAGCTTCATGAGGTAGTCACTTGGAATGCATTTCAATTAAGAGGTGTTAATTTGTGGAATCTATTTCCTTCTTTGAGCCAATCAGTTGTTTTGTGACAAGGTAGGGGGGTATACAGAAGATAGCCCTATTTGGTAAAAGACCAAGTCCATATTATGGCAAGAATATCTCAAATAAGCAAAGAGAAACGACAGTCCATCATTACTTTAAGACATGAAGGTCAGTCAATCAGGAAAATGTCAAGAACTATGAAAGTTTCTGCAAGTGCAGTCACAAAAACCATCAAGCGCTATGATGAAACTGGCTCTCATGAGGACCGCCACAGGAAAGGAACACCCAGAGTTACCTCTGCTGCAGAGGATACGTTCATTAGAGTTAACTGCACCTCAGATTGCAGCCCAAATAAATGCTTCACAGAGTTCAAGTAAGAGACACATCTCAACATCAACTGTTCAGAGGAGACTGCGTGAATCAGGCCTTCATGGTCGAATTGCTGCAAAGAAACCACTACTAAAGGACACCAATAAGAAGAAGAGACTTGCTTGGGCCAAGAAACACGAGCAATGGACATTAGACTGGTGGAAATTTGTCCTATGGTCTGGAGTCCAAATTGGAGATTTTTGGTTCCAACCGCCGTGTCTTTGTGAAACGCGGTGTGGGTGAACGGATGATCTCTGCATGTGTATTTCCCACCGTAAAGCATGGAGGAGGAGGTGATATGGTGTGGGGGTGCTTTGCTGGTAACACTGTCTGTGATTTATTTAGAATTCAAGGCACACTTAACCAGCATGGCTACTACAGCATTCTGCAGCGATACGCCATCCCATCTGGTTTGGGCTTAGTGGGACTATCATTTGTTTTTCATCAGGACAATGACCCAACACACCCCCAGGCTGTGTAAGGACTATTTTACCAAGAAGGAGAGTGATGGAGTGCTGCATCAGATGACCTGGCCTCCACAATCCCCCGACCTCAACCCAATTGAGATGGTTTGGGATGAGTCGGACGGCAGAGTGAAGGAAAAGCAGCCAACAAGTGCTCAGCATATGTGGAAACTCCTTCAAGACTGTTGGAAAAGCATTCCAGGTGAAGCTGGTTGAGAGCATGCCAAGAGTGTGCAAAGCTGTCATCAAGGCAAAGGGTGGCTATTTGAAGAATCTCAAATATAAAATATATTTTGATTTGTTTAACACTTATTTGGTTACTACATGATTCCATATGTGTTATTTCATAGTTTTGATGTCTTCACTATTATTCTACAATGTAGAAAATAGTAAATAAATTAAGAAAAACCCTTGAATGAGTACGTGTGTCCAAACTTTTGACTGGTGCTGTATGTGTGTGTATGTATGCATGTATGTACAGTGAAATTATTGACACCCTTGATGAAGATTAGCAAAAATGACTGTATAAAATAAATAATTCAAACACTGAGCTATATTGTATGTTCAATAAATTGGAAAATGATATTATTCTATACTAATACAATTGCTCAGAGAAATATATATTTTTTAACAACTAATATTTTATATTAGTAAGATTGGAGAACACATTGAGAGTGATCTTAGACCATTCCTCCATACAGAATCTTTCCAGGAGGATGAAACTTGGCCACAAGTGGATCTTCCAGCAAGACAATAACCTCAAGCACACATCAAAATCCACAAAGAAATGGTTAATTGACCACAAAATTAACATTTTGCAATGGCCATCTCAGTTTCCGGACTTGAACACCATTGAAAACCTGTGGTTTGAATGGAAGACGGCAGTCCATAAGCGCAGACGAAGGATATCAAGGATCTGGAAAGATTCCATATGGAGGAATGGTCTAAGATTACTCCCAATGTGTCCTCCAATCTCAAAAAACAAGGTGAGGTATTGAAAGGTATTGAAAACAGGGGTGTCAATCATTTTGAACCCTACCTTTTTGAGGACCAAATATATTAATTGGTAAACAAAATATCTTTCTCTAAGTAAAAATGTCATACAATATAGGTCAGTATTTGAATTATTTATTTTATACAGTATTTTTTGCTAATCTCTGTCAAGGGTGTCAATAATTTCAGACCCCACTGTACGTATGTGTATTTGTGCTCACCTTGCCAGTGGATTTGACCCCCTTCCACACACAGAAGTAGCAGACGACCCAGACTAGCAGCAGACACAGAGCCAGCCTCCAGCTGACTGGCCCCAGCACATCTGGTCCACTGGACAACTGCAAGACCTCCCGCCTGGACACAAACACACACACACACACACACACACAGCAAATAATAACCCCAATACATACAAGACTAAGCATGAGCCTGATTAGAGCCACTGTAATGCCACAGGTAGATTATGATCACTCTACTCTTGGTAAAGCTGAACCCCTAAAACCAAACCCCTGTTGGAAATGGGACCCTACCTCGTCTGCAATGTCCTTCTCCTCTCCAATCTTCTCTATGTCCCCTAATATGTACTTTGGCTATTCACGAACACACCATTGTTAATACCTCACATTTTAAAATGCCAGCCCACAGCTGCATATTAAGCCCCTTTACCTTAATTTTTAAGAAAACAAAATGCAGTAGTGTTGTAAGGAATGTGGCTGAGACTCACTCCCAGAACTCGATGACAGGTGAGGTAGCATTCTCTGGTAGGCTGGTCCCAGAGGTTAGGTTCTGACAGTCAAACAACACACAGGCATCTACAAGACATAGACAGAACTTCAACACATGATCACCTTAACTCAACTAAACTAAACTTAGCTCAACTCAACTCATAATCCATAACATACCATCACATCACATACCTCTTTCTCTTCCAAAGGAAAAAAAAAGTGGTTTAATAGCAACTGCCAAAAAAAACCTGGGTCAAATAGGTACATAGGCTCCTGTAGGTCAAATACTTTCAAATCCTTGGACCGGCTAATTGAGCTGCACTTGATTTAGTTTTTCCAGTACAATGGAACCATTGGAATAGTCCCAAAAATGCAAACTCCAACCTAATCAAGTACACCTCCAATGCTTTCAAATATTTGACAGTAGTTGACATATGTAGGCCTATTTGACATGACCTCTTTGAAAATAAGATAACCCATCAACATCCCCAACTTCCAGTAAGGTTCCAGCAACTATTTTGGATGCGTAACCAGGCCAGCCAAGTACAGCTTGGCTCAGCTTGACTCAGTAGTGTGAAAAGGGTATCAGTGCATGGTGTACCTGTGTTCCAGGTGTTGTTGCAGTGGGCCCAGGGCAGCTCTGACTGGAAGCTGTGGCCCAGGTAGAAGAGAGCCCATGCCAGGACCACAATGTAGTACACACACCCATGGAGGATCATCACCTGACTGGCAAAGCCCAGACCTGTGGAAACACATTTCAAATACTTTATTTAAATCTAAAAATCACATTCCAGGTCCAGGTCTCTCTTGAAACTAACCTGGTTAAATAAAGGTTCAATACATGAATAAAACAATACATTCAAGAAGGACTAAAACATTTCAAAAGTCACATGGACACTCATGGATACAAAAGTACCAAAAGTGTCTAAAACTTTGTCAGACCTTTATTGCATTAATAACGGCAGTTACACACCCACACACTCAAACACAGGCAGAGGCACACAGACAACACACACGCAGGCACAGGAAAAAATACATACATTCTCATGGATACACAGTTATAATTCAAATAGAACAGTTAGTGTGCATTTGCTGTGCTATTTCGTGAATTTAACCAATCACATTGAGTGGTCGTTACTAAATCATAGATTAACAAGGGTACAGTAAATGTGGACATACATTTGAGTTACATGCATGCATAGCTTTCAAGATAGGATTTCACCCTTAAAACTTAGGACACACTAAAGAGCACACACACATGCACAGACAGACACACAAACACGAACACACACGTCTACTAGTAGCTAGTACTACATGTACCAAAACACAGATGTGTTTGTTTTGTTTAACTAGGCAAGTCAGTTAAGAACAAATTCTTATTTACAATGACAGCCAAACCCGGACAACGTTGGGCCAATTGCGCGCTGCCCTATGGGACTCCCAATCACGGACGGATTGTGATACAGCCTGGAATCGAACCAGGGTCTGTAGTGACGCCTCTAGCACTGAGATGCAGTGCCTTAGACCACTGCGCCACTCGGGAGCCCATCTGTTTGTCCATCTGCTAACACATGAGTCTGTTGGCCTTCACACAACTCGCTGTAAACACACCTGCTGACTGATCTGGGCTCTGTGTGTGTCTGTACGAGCGTGTACAGTGCATTTGGAAAGTCAGCAGGTGTGTTTACAGCGAGTTGTGTGAACGACAAAGCAAAAACAGGTTTTTGGAAAGTTTTGCAAATGTATTAAAAATAAAAAACAGAAATATCACATTTACAGGTGTCTCCCGAGTGGCGCAGTGGTCTAAGGCACTGCATCGCAGTGCTAGCTGTGCCACTAGAGATCCTGGTTTGAATCCAGGATCTGTTGTAGCCGGACGTGACCGGGAGACCCATGGGGCGGTGCACAATTGGCCCAGGGTAGGGGAGGGAATGGCTGGCAGGGATGTAGCTAAGTTGGTAGAGCATGGTGTTTGCAATGCCAGGGATGTGGGTTTGATTCCCACGGGGGGCCAGTATGAAAAAATAATGTATGCACTCACTAACTGTAAGTCGCTCTGGATAAGAGCGTCTGCTAAACTGTAAATGTATTTAGACCCTTTCCTCAGTACTTTGTTGAAGCGATTAGAGTCTTCTTGGGTATGACGCTACAAGCTTGGCATACCTGTATTTGGGGAGTTTCTCCCATTCTTCTCTGCTGATCCTCTCAAGCTCTGTCAGGTTGGATGGAGAGCGTCGCTGCACAGCTATTTTCAGGTCTCTCCAGAGATGTTCGATCGGGTTCAATTCCGGGCTCTGGCTGGGCCACTCAAGGACATTCAGAGACTTGTCCAGAAGCCACTACTACATTGTCTTGGCTGTGTGCTTATGGTTGTTGTCCTGTTGGTAGGTGAACCTTCACCCCCAGTCTGAGGTCCTGAGCGATCTGGAGCAGGTTTTCATCAAGGATCTCTCTGTACTTTGCTCTGTTTATCATTCCCTCGATCCTGACTAGTCTCCCAGTCCCTGCCGATGGAGGCCACTGTGTTCTTGGGGACCTTCAATGCTGCAGACATTTTTTGGTACCTTTCCCCAGATCTGTGCTTCGACAAAATCCTCTCTCGGAGCTCTACGGACAATTCCTTCGACCTCATGGCTTGGTTTTTGCTATGCCATGCACTGTCAACTGTGGGATCTTATATAGACAGGTGTGTGCCTTTCCAAATCATGTCCAATCAATTTGTAGAAAGATCTCAAGGATGATCAATGGAAACAGGATGCACCTGAGCTCAATTTCGAGTCTCATAGCAAAGGGTCTGAATACTTATGTAAATAAAGTATATATATATATATATATATATATTTTTTTTTTTTATACATTTGTAAAATTTCTACAAACCTGTTTTCACTTTGTCATTATGGGGTATTGTGTGCAGATTGATGAGGAAAATAATGTATTTAATCCATTTTAGAATAAGGCTGTAACGTAACAAAATGTGGAAAAAGGGAAGGGGTCTGAATACTTTCTGAATGCATTGTATGTGTGTGTGTGTATGTGTACGAGCATGTGAGTGCGTCTGTGCAGCTGTGGGCCATATGGACAGAGAACAGCAGCTGTCTGGAGGAGGGGGAGAGGAGGAGGAGGAGGAAGAGGCAAGTTTACGTGAAACGGAAAGCTATCCAGAGGCAGATAGTTCTAACACCAGCTTGTTTACAAGATAGACAACATTTACAGTGTGTCGACCAGGTGGCTTCGCTAAGAAGCTACAGTCATCTGACTGGCTGCACCTGTAGGAAGTACCAAACCCGGGTTGTGTTCAGCAGGCACCAAGCAGAGAGCCGGGGTACCAGTCTATTTGAGCCACCATGCCACTCCTTGTCATGCCAAACATGTTTTGCATGACAAGGAGTGGCAAGGCGTGGCATGATGGCACAAACAGACTGGTACCCAGGTTACGAAACGGGACAGAACAGCACAAAACAGAGAAAACGGGTAGGCAATATCTGAACTTAATAAGAGATGTTTTTGTTTTCAGTTGTAAAATGTTTTGCTACGGTGTTCCCTCATGAACATGTCCCAGGTTGAACAGTTTAGACCAGTGCTAGTCACTAATATTTCAGAGGGAACCACTTTTGTAAAACAAAATCACTCTGCGTTTGGAGAACGGGGGTTGGAGGGGGTCACAAAGTCAAATTGATTCATTCATGATATTAAATGGATTTATACATTATATTCCTATTTATTAACATGGACCATCAAGCTATTTGATTACCTGATTCTCTACTTTAGGACACTTGGGGGTATCAGAAACAAATGTGATGAATCGTTAGAATTTGACCTTATTGCCATTATCTCAATAAAAGTTATCTAGCAGAAGCTATGTCAAATCAGGTAATGGCAAATTTCAGTCTGAAGGAAGCAGTCTTTGGAATGATTGAAATGCATCAGAAAGGTATTGTAATGTTCAGGAAAACATCAGGGATGATCATCAAACAATCTTATGTATGATCGTTTATGGAGAATCAATTCATTTCCCTCAGTTATCCTGTGCAGATTCAACACTCTCCCTTCTAAAAAGTCCTGCACAGCTTGTGTCTTAGATGGAAACAGAATACATACTTGTTCCTGAAAGTCTTAGCTTTCAGGGATGGTAATAGCTCAAAATGTTGAAAGTCTAGAGCCAAAATGTATTCCTTGAAACCGCCACTAATACTACGGTTCTTTGAACTAAGCGGCGTATTCAGCTGACTGAGGAAAACACATTCTTTCAGATTATTGCCGCGAGCCACCAATTAAGTCACTGAGAGATGCATGTGTCTCGTGAGACGCGCAATGACTATGCCTGGTTGAGACAATGCAGTTGGAGTAGTAGGATACAGTGGGTGAGACTGAAAAGTATTTCCTAGACTCATCTCCTTCTAAAAATGTCTGAGGGAGACGAGGAGACTATTGGAGAATATGATCCAACGAGAGGGTTGGGTGTAGCTTAGCTTACCTATACCTCTGCTCCACCAAGCTACTGTACCTATGTTACACCAAGCTAACTCTGCTACACCTGTAACGAGGTGTGAAAGAAGGAGTCAGGTGCAGGAGGTAAAATACCGAAGTCCAGAGTTTAATCCGTTTGCATAAATCAAATGCCCCAAGCGTCAAACAAAACTATTAGAAGGGAAAACATCCACCTTGGCATAAACACAATGAAATGTAGCTCAACCGAGCTACACGCTCTCACAACAAAACAATCACTCACAAAGACAAGGGGAACAGAGGGAACACTTATACACATACTAATTCGGGGAATGAGCACCAGGTGTGTGTGATTGACAAGACATGACCAGTGGAGTGATGAGAATGGGATCGGCAGTAGCTAGCACTCCGGTGACGACAAACGCCGAAGCCTGCCCGAACCAGGAGTGGGGGGCAGCCTCGGCGGAAGTCGTGACAACACCTGAACAGTTTATGGTTCAATCTAGAGATGTAGATATCATCATCAAGAATTTGGTTTTAACTCATTAATTTCAAACTGTCCAATCCAATCCAACTAAACATAACCTAAACCCTCTCACTGTTTTGTCAAAACAAACAATAACACATGGCACCACAGATGAGTGAGAGTGTGTGTGACTTTGAACCTGTGTGTGTGTGTAAGTCATTAAGGGAAATATAAGAGTTAAGTGTCCACTCCAGGGAATGGTCACACATCGATCTAATCAGGGCATGTGTCAGCATAACAGATTGTCAGCATGACAATGTATTAAAATCAATTCAAATTGTATTCGTCAAGTACGGCATGTATAAAAGGTGCGTGTGTGTATATGTGTGTGTACGTGCGAGTAACATAATCCATTGGATTTTCAAAATGAGTAATGATATCTGATTACTTTTGGATTACTTCATTGGTTAGCCAGATGTAGACTATTCAAAGTTTGCAAAAACACAAAGATTTTAGTGTACTTTTCCCCACTGAAACTAGAGACTTAGCTGAGTAAACTGATGACTTGTCATGTGTGTCATCCCAGTACTTAGGAAGTGAACAGGAAGGAACTGTGTTGACAAATCAAAAAATGTATTTTGACACAAAGATCCTGATGAAATTTGGGATGATTCAGTTCTCATTAAGTAGGGGTCTGACTTCAGTTTTTTGGTTTAAAAGGTTTCTGTAGAAAGCCACCAAGGAGAGCAAAGTTAACAAGCCAAAAAAATATTCCACATAGATTAGAACAGAAGAGCAAACCTTCCAATGACTGAAATGGAGTCAATGGAATGGTATCAAACCAATGGAAACCATGTGTTTGATGTATTCGATACCATTCCATTTACACTGTTCCAGCCAGTCCTCCCCAATTACGGTGCCACCGGCCACCTGTGATTGCCACTGAAAGGTGACTACGATTAGCCAATGATCAGGTCTTTCTCACAGGCTACAAGTGAAGACAGACACATTGGTGACGCAACTGCGTGCATCCTTATCCAATTCTGAGGTGCATATTGAAGATGTTGGAAGAACTGTCCACATGTACTTTTCGTCAGCCAACAAGATGAGTAGGCCTAACGAACAGCAAAAGCACTATCCCCCATAGTAGAAAAGTTGACCTATTCTATTCTGTGCCAGAAATAAATATTCCAAACATAGTCTGGGACAGTTGTGGGATGAGATAGAGCCCAAATTAATACAACCATTAGCATCAAAAAACATTTAGTAGGCAATGAGGCTGACGCAACAGATCAGAACGTTTAGCTTAAAATGTTGATAAACTACTAGTCTATTTCTTCACATTATAAGTGCAGCAATGCGCACACAGCAGAAGGCTAGAAGTGCAAATGTTCCAAAATGCAATCAATTAGCTGGAAAACACCATTATCAAAAGTGACCGCAAATGCGATTATGCATGTAATACTTTTATTATAAAGTTGCATTTTTATGGTGAAAATTATCTTCCTCAAACTTGAAACTCACGCGCTGCGTATGTATGCCAGTTAGGCTCTACACCCGTTGTAAAGCGGATTAATGTGCTTAATTTTAAGAAGTTATTTGGCCCCTTTAATTGTGATACAAACCTTATCAAAACATATAGGTCTATGGGCTATGATTTGAAAAAGTCACACAAAAAATGCATGCACTGTTTCTTGCCTTACTGCACACAAGCTGGGCATCATTCACAAGTGATAATACAGTATATAATTCACAAGTGATAGGATAATATTGTACCAATCAGACTATTCCTGATTTAATCTTGTCTTTACATATACTAAATAATATAAGTGTGAAATTTGTTCTGATTTAGAATGGGCCATTATCATGCACCTGTCTTGAAACAGGGGGAAAAAAGAAATGTCATCTATGCACTTAAATAGCGAATGGAGGATGCTTTTCCCATGGTTTATTTTCATGCCAGCCAGGTAGGCTATCCTCCTGTTGTAAAGAGAAGCAATGTGCTTAATATTAGGAAAGTTGAGAAATAAATATAGTAGGCCTAGCCATTAGAAAGCTGATGGGATCCTACTCTTTTTAATAGAGGCCATCACTCAGGCATTTGCATAGCCTATAGAAATGTTGCGCAACATGAGCCCATGGGCGCTCATGAAGTGTTTGATTCGATTTTCGATTACATTTGTATTGATGTCAGAGTGATTAGAGGGACAATAGAGTGCTGAGTACCAGGCAGATAGCAAGTTTGGTAGGCTACTAATGACCATCAGCAGCATCAGAGCTTGGGAAGCCTAATTACCGTGACTAAACGGTCACGTGGAATTTGACTGCCATCATGACTCGTGACCGCCGGTGTGGCGGTAATAAGGTCACCGTAACAGCCCTATTTGTGCATGGGTGTATACCTTGAGGAGTGTGCGTGTGTGTGTGAGTGTGTACCTCCGAACAGTGGGCAGATGCTCCTCCAGGCGCTGACCCCTCCCAGGCTGGTATACTGACCCAGAGAGGTCTCCATCAGGAAGAGAGGAACACCACACAGCACCAGAAACAACAGGTAGGGCACAAAGAACACACCTGGGAGAGTGCGAGAGGGATGAACACAGATATAGAGAGAAAGAGACATAAGTACACAATAGCACTTTGACTTGGTCTCCTATTTATAGCCCAGAAACTATGCATGTATGTACTGTTTTTCCCCTTGGGTATAATACTACTATAGTCGTCTTTAAGCTATAGGAATCTGCTGTCCACAATCAGGTGTGTTAGAGCTTAGAGAGTGGGTGGACAGAGAGAGAGAGAGAGAGAGAGAGAGAGAGAGAGAGAGAGAGAGAGAGAGAGAGAGAGAGAGAGAGAGAGAGAGAGCAAGAGAGAGAGAGAGAGACAGAGAGAGAGAGAGAGAGAGAGAGAGAGAGAGAGAGAGAGAGAGAGAGAGAGAGAGATAAGAAGACAACGAGAGAAAGACGAATAAGCTTATCTCTACCTAATCTCTCGATCGATATCTCTAATAGCCCCCCTCCCTCCCTCCTACATCACTCCTCCTACCTCAGAACGCACCCCCAATTAAATAGACAATACCTAAAATCCCTATAATATATAAAAGTAATAGACAAAGCTAGACCATAGACATACTGACAGACAGAGAAAGAGAGACACACACAGAGAGATTTAATTTGAATATCTACAACCCCCTATTGTCACGGAATCAGCCGAGGCTGCCCCTCCTCCTTGCTCGGGCAGGCTTCGGCGTTCGTCGTCACCGGAGTACTAGCTGCTACCGATCCATGTATCTATGTTCGACTTGTTTTGTGTTAATTGGTCACACCTGTTTCCCATCATGTAGTTATGTCTTCCCTATTTAACCCTCTGTCTCACACTGTGTGTTGTGCGTGTTTGTTCATGTTTTGGTTGTCATCAGTGTGCGGGTTTGTTCCCTCCCGGGTGAGCGTCTATTCCACCTCAGACAGGGGAAGAGGAGCGTGCAGGAATTTGCACTGGACTTTCGGACTCTGGCTGCCAGCGCAGGATGGAATGAGAGGGCCCTCATCGACCACTACCGTTGCAGCTTAAGGGAGGACGTTCGTCGGGAATTGGCCTGCAGGGACACCAACCTAAACCTGGACCAACTGGTGGATATGTTAATCCGACTGGATAACCTGTTGGCCACCCGCGGACGTCCGGATCAGGGGCCGTCCATTCCATCCCCCAGCACCTCCGACCCTACCCCTATGGAGCTCGGAGGTGCTGCTATGAGGGAGACCGGTAGAGGGGCCGTCCCCTGCACCAACTGTGGCCGCAGAGGACACACTGCTGGTCGGTGCTGGGGAGGGCCTTCTAGGAGTCGAGGCAGTAGGCAGCGCACTGGTGAACCGTTTCAGGTGAGTAGGCACCCAACTCACCCAGAGCTCCCTGTTGCGCATATGTGTATAAATGTTGTATTTCCAGAGTTTTCTTCTCATTCCTAGCATAAGGCGCTAGTAGATTCAGGCGCAGATGGGAACTTTATTGATCATCAGTTTACCCGTAGGTTAGGGATTCCTATTGTGCCAGTTGATGTGCCCTTCCCTATACATGCCCTAGATAGTCGCCCTTTAGGGTCAGGTCTGATTAGGGAGGTCACAGCGCCACTCTGGATGAAGACACAGGAGGAGCATGAGGAAATAATTAGTCTATATCTGATTGATTCTCCTGCGTTTCCAGTTGTGTTGGGGCTTCCCTGGTAACTTCTCATGACCCCACTATTTCATGGCAACAGAGGGCTCTCAAGGGATGGTCAAGTCAGTGCTTGGGGAGGTGTGTAGGTGTTTCCGTAGGGGCAACTACGGTGGAAAGTCCAAACCAGGTTCCCACCATGCACATTCCGCCTGAATATGCCGATTTGGCTCTCGCCTTCTGTAAAAATAAGGTTTTCACCCTGAGAGTAATGGGCAGGTGGAGAGCGTTAACCAGGATGTGGGTAGGTTTCTGAGGTCCTATTGCCAGGACCAGCAGGGGGAGTGGTCAGGTTATATCCCCTGGGCAGAGATGGTCCAAAACTCACTCCGCCACTCATCTACTAACCTTACGCCTTTCCAGTGTGTGTTAGGTTATCAGCCGGTCCTGGCACCTTGGCATCAGAGCCAGATCGAGGCTCCTGCGGTGGATGAGTGGTTTCGGCGCTCGGAAGAGACCTGGAACGCTGCTCATGTACACCTGCAGCGGGCAATCAGGCGACAAAAGGCGAGCGCCGATCGCCACCGCAGTGAGGCCCCGGTGTATGCACCGGTGGACCGGGTCTGGCTCTCGACCCGAAACCTGCCCCTTCGCCTGCCCTGCCGGAAGCTGGGTCGGCGGTTTGTGGGGCCATTTAAAGTCCTGAGGAGATTGAACGAGGTTTGTTATAGGTTACAGCTTCCTATTAATTACCGTATTAACCCCTCAGGCCGGTAGTAGCTGGTCCACTCCAGGAGTCTGAGGTACGGGAGGTTCCTCCGCCCCCACTGGACATTGAGGGGGCTCCGGCGTACTCGGTCCGATCCATCTTGGATTCGAGGCGTCGGGTGGGGGGCCTGCAGTATCTCGTGGAGTGGGAGGGGTACGGTCCGGAGGAACGGTGCTGGGTCCCTAGGAGGGACATCCTCGATCCCTCCATGTTGAGGGATTTCCACCAGAGTCATCCGCCCGCCCTGCTCCGCGTCCTCCTGGCCGTCCCCGAGGCCGGGGTCGGCGCATGGCTGGAGCCGCGCGTCAAGGGGGGGGGTACTGTCACGGATTCAGCCGAGGCTGCCCCTCCTCCTTGCTCGGGCAGGCTTCGGCGTTCGTCGTCACCGGAGTACTAGCTGCTACCGATCTATGTTCGACTTGTTTTGTCTTAATTGGTCACACCTGTTTCCCATCATGTAGTTATGTCTTTCCTATTTAACCCTCTGTCTCACACTGTGTGTTGTGTGTTTGTTCATGTTTTGGTTGTCGTTAGTGTGCGGGTTTGTAGGCAATGTAAATAGTCTGGGTGGCCATTTCATTAATTGTTCAGCAGTCTTATAGTTTGGGGGTAGAAGCTATTAAGGAGCCTTTTGGACCTAGACTTGGCGCTCCGGTACCGCTTGCCGTGCAGTAGCAGAGAACAGTCTATGACTTGGGTGACTGGAGTCTTTGACAATTTATTGGGCCTTCCTCTAACACCGCCAAGTATATAGGTCATGGATGTTAGGAAGCTGGGCCCCAGTGATGTATTGGGCCGTACGCACTACCCTCTGTAGCGCCTTACGATCGGATTCCGAGCAGTTGCCATACCAGGCGGTGATGCAGCCGGTCAGGATGCTCTTGATGGTGCAGCTGTAGAATTTATTGAGGATCTGGGGACCCATGCTAAATATTTTCAGTCTCCTGAGGGGGAAAAGGTGTTGTCGTGCCCTCTTCACGACTGTCTTGGTGTGTTTGGACCATGATAGTTTGTTGGTGATGTGGACACCAAGGAACTTGAAACTCTCGACCCGCTCCACTACAGCCCCGTCGATGTTAATGGGGGCCTGTTCAGCCCTCCTTTTCCTGTAGTCCACGATCATCTCCTTTGTTTTGCTCACATTGAGGGAGAGGTTGAGGTCTGAGGGGTGCAACCCCTCAGAGGTTGCACCCCTGAGGGGCCCCGGTGTTGAGGATCAGCGTGGCAGATGTGTTGTTGCCTACCCTTACCACCTGGGGGGCGGCCCGTCAGGAAGTCCAGGATCCAGTTGCAGAGAGAGGTGTTTAGTCCCAGGGTCCTTAGCTTAGTGATGAGCTTTGTGGGCACTACGGTGTTGAACGCTGAGTCAATGAACAGCATTCTCACATAGGTGTTCCTTTTGTCCAGGTGGGAAAGGGCAGTGTGGAGTGCGATTGAGATTGCATCATCTGTGGATCTGTTGGGGCGGTATGCGAAATGGAGTGGGTCTAGGGTTTCCAGGATGATGGCGTTGATGTGAGCCATGACCAGCCTTTTAATGCACTTCATGGCTACCGACGTGAGTGCTACGGGGCGGTAATCATTTAGGCAGGTTATCATCGCATTCTTGGGCACAGGGACTATGGTGGTCTGCTTGAAACATGTAGGTATTACAGACTCAGTCAGGGAGAGGTTGAAAATATCAGTGAAGACACTTGCCAGTTGGTCCGCGCATGCTCTGAGTATACGCCCTGGTAATCCGTCTGGCCCTGCGGCCTTGTGAATGTTGACCTGTTTAAAGGTCTTGCTCACATCGACTACGAAGAGCGTGATCACACAGTAGTCCGGAACAGCTGATGCTCTCATGCATGCTTCAGTGTTGCTTGCCTTGAAGCGAGCATAAAGGGCATTTAGCTCGTCTGGTAGGCTCGTGTCACTGGGCAGCTCGCGGCTGGGTTTCCCTTTGTAGTCCGTAATAGTTTGCAAACCCTGCCACATTCGACGAGCATCAGAGCCGGTGTAGTAGGATTCAGTCTTAGTCCTGTATTGACGCTTTGCCTGTTTGATGGTTCGTCTTATAAGCGTTCGGATTAACTTGAAAGCGGCAGCTCTAGCCTTTAGCTAGATGATCTTAAAATTATATAACAAATATATAAAAATATATATAAGTCCATTATCTTTTCTACGTACTTGATGTCTAGTTTTAGTCGTTTAACTTTACACTGAAAACGTTCTTCAATTCTGAAAAGTATTTCCAAAAATAATAATATGTTCTTTAGATTTTACTGTTTGGACATAGGCGGCCCAAAAAAAACACTTAGGCGGCCCGCCCAAGACTTTTCTATGCAGAAAACCTGCCATACCATGATGCAGCCACCACATTTTAGTCATTTAGCAGACGCTCTTATCCAGAGCGACGTACAGTTTGTGAGTGCATACATTATTTTTTTCATACTGGCCCACAGTGGGAATCAAACCCACAACCCTGGCGTTGCAAACGCCATGCTCTACCAACTGAGCAACATCCCTTCCGGCCATTCCCTCCCCTACCCTGGACGACGCTGGGCCAATTGTGCGCCGCCCCATGGGTCTCCCGGTCACGGCCGGCTACGACAGAGCCTGGATGCAGTGCCTTAGACCACTGCGCCACTCGGGAGGTTGGAAATAAGAAGGCAGTTACTCAGTGACGTGTTGTGTTGGATTTACCCCAACCATAAGGCTTTGCATTTAGGCCAAAAAGTGTATTCATTTGCCGTGTTTTTTTTTTTCAGTATTACTTTAGTGCGTTGTATTCTGTATATTTGTATTGTTCTTTTCATTCTGTCATTTACACTCAGAAAAAAGGGTTCCAAAAGGGTTCTTTGGCTGTCCCCATAACAGAAGCCTTTTTGGTTCCAGATAGAACCATTTTGTTTCCATGTAGAACCCTCTACGGAAAAGGTTCTACATTGAACCCAAAAGGGTTCTACCTGGAACCAAAAAGGGTTATCCTATGGCGATAGCCGAAGAACCCTTTTAAGGTTGTAGATATAACCTTTTTTCTAAGTGTAGGTCATTATTGTGAAGTTAGTACAATGTTGTTGATCCATCCTAATTTTTCTCCCATCACAGCCATTGAACTCCGTGGCTGTTTTAAAATCACCAATGGCCTCATGGTGACATCCCTGAGCAGTTTCTTTCCTGTCCTGCAGCTCAGTTCAGAAGGACGCCTGTATCTTTGATGTGTCTGTGTGGTTTCATACATTATCCACAGCATTATTATTAACTTGACCATGCTTAAAAAGATATTCAATGTCTGATTTGTTATCGTTACCCATCTACCAATAACTGCCCTTCTTTTTGAGGCTTTCGAAAAGCTCCCTGGTCTGTAGTTGAATCTGTGCTTGAAATTCAATACTTGACTGAGGGACCTTACATATGTTGAATGTATGGGGGACAGAGGAAGGGGTAGTCATACAAAATCAAGTCAACCCCTATTATTTCACACAGAGTGAGTCCATGTAACTTATTATGTGATTCTTAAGCCAAATTTTACTCCTGAACTAATTTAGGCTTGCCTAAACAAAAGAACAGAAGGTGAATACTTTTGCAACAATACTTGTACAGTAGGACAGTCACGCAAGATGTTATTGTTACAGTGGTTGACCCTAGGGTTAATTTATGGCGCCCACTTTCTGTATTGTTCCATTGACGTTATACATTTACATTTACATCATTTATCCAGAGCGACTTACAAATTGGTGCATTCAACTTAATGTTGAATGTTATGATTAAAAGAGTACAGTTAGCTCTGACATCTGTGGTAGCGTCTTTCCTTCAAATTTAGTTTCTCACCTCCTCCGTTCTTGTAGCACAGGTAGGGGAATCTCCACACGTTGCCCAGGCCTATGATCTGTCCTGCCACAGCCAGCAGGAACTCTGCCTTGCTGGCCCACTGGCCCCGGGCCTGCAGGCCTTCCACCTCCCCGCCCTCCAGCCCCTTCTTGCTCTTCACGTGCAGGCCACCGTTCAGCAACACACCACCCTGCTCCGGAGCAGGCTGGGCTGACATGACAGGATCTGGTAAGGATACACACACACCCCTACAGAAAGAGAGGGGATGGATGAGAATAAGGCAGTCATAAGGGAAAAATATGAATCAGGCTAGAGTTAGTGAGAGTGAGATAGTGATAGAGATAGAGAGAGAGAGAGCGAGAGAGAGAGAGATGGCAGGGAGCTTGCATCTCTGTAACAGCGAAGATGAATGACAATTGAGGAGCCATTAGGGGGAAAAACAAAGGAAAAATATGAATTTGGCTACACAATGGGAGAGAGCGAGAGAAAGAGAGAGCGTGCGAGAGAGAGGGTTTACACGAGTGCTTACATCTCTGCAGCCTGCGATGGAGTGACCAACTACCTTAGTAGGGTGCTTCCCTGACAGTTGGCCTGCCTGCGTAACTTATCTGTACCGCCCTTCTCAGGGCCAGCCCTGTGTGGGGTGTGTGTCTGCTATCTGACTTCCTCAGGCTACGCAAGGTCTACGCAAGGCCTACGTTCCAAATGGCACCCTATTCCTTATAGGGCTCTGTTCAAAAGTAGGAAATAAGGCACCATTTGGGACGCACCCAAGGTCTAGAAGGTGTGTATGTGTGTTTGGTGTTTCGGGGGTGTCAACAACTAAGGGCGGGACTGTAAATCGTCATTTAAATACTCGTACAAGTCGTAGACTGGTGCTCCTGTGCCACACATCAATTCTGCAGTCTGTTTGTATGTAAACGTGAGCAACTCCATTCCTAAACCCCCTCCTCCTATCCCATCCCACCCCATCTGACACCTTAGAGCTCACTTTGGACTGTAGCCCAAAAAAACCCGGAAATGATTTACCTCTGGTTCGATCAGCCATTCCTATTGGCAAAATGGTTTTGGAATAAATGCCAAAAACACGGTTTGAGGTCCTTTGTAGCTCAGTTGGTAGAGAGAGCATGCTGCTTGTAACGCTAGGGTAGTGGGTTCGATTCCCGGGACCACCCATACTTAAAATGTAGCACGCATGAATGTAAGTCGCTTTAGATAAAAGCGTCCGCTAAATGTGAAATATTATAATATTAACACAGGCATATGAGATCTTATACGTTTTGTTCTGTGAGAAAATATCAGTCAGAGCATGATCTTTAATAATTATAAAGCCTTTATGTGCGTTGTTTTTTGTATTAAATAAATGCTTCAAAATTCACAAAAAGTTGTTAGCTGATGAAGGTAATCTCATAGAACAAAACGTAAGATCTCCTAAACCTGTGTTTACCACAGACCTTATTTTCAGCGTTTATCCAAAAACCCTACAAAAACTCCATTCATTTTCCAATAGGCTTTGTTTAACGAACCATGGCAGACTTAATGCCTAGACAAGACACCATTACTATTGCTTTCTATTGTCAGCTGGGTTACTCAAACTGCAACTGTCATGTGACTACTACGTTGTTACCACAGTCTTTGGTTGTTACGTGTGTCTCGTGAGATAGTGATGTAAGTCAAATTCACGTATATAACCCTGTTTTTTACGGTCTCTGATATAACCTTTCCAGGAATCATATAGACTGAGGGACAGAGAGAGCAAAGACACATGTTCAACTTTAGGAGGCTTTTCACCCTTTACAATGGATATGCAGTAGCCTAGTCAGAAGACAAGGTCCCATTTTTACAACCCAGACGCAGAGGGCTATAGAGGCGTATCCTGCAATTATTTTGGACTACAGTGTAGCCGCTGTAGCTAGGCTATAGAGGTTTGGCTTGCAATTATTTTGGACTACAGTGTAGCCGCTGTAGCTACACTATTATCTGTAACAGTTCGCATTTTACCGTTAACGATACACAAAGATGACATTTGCTTAGCTTCCCTATCAAGTGCAAAAGTAGTAAGTGAAAAAAACGTTGCCTACTATACCTGGTATGATAGCCTACAATGACGGATCTCCACTGCCTAGATTGAGTAACATGTCTTCCTTGTGCCTTTCATAGCACACCTCATGGGCAACACAAATAATTATGTGAGCATATGCGAACGAATGTAAACGGTTAACTTTGGAATTATTAGGTTTATAATAGATTTATAATAATCAGGTTTAATTTGGTAGGGTAAGCGAAAACTTTCCTACGACATTCAACAGAGCACGGCGCGAATGAAACCACACAAATAAATAGCTTAAAAACAATGCGTTTTTCGTGCACAACATTTAGCATTGCACAACGATTACGGCAGGTTTGAAGTCCCTTTCGCCAAGTGTTCCCTTCGTGTATAACAACCGCGGTTATTTTAGCCAATCTAATTCCGAAGAGTAGCCTATACGTTTGCCGCGTTCAAATACTAGTCGGAACTAGGAAACACATAAATGTCCGACTCGCTAACCGGTTGTAGTTATACACGCGCCGCGTTCAAACACGGAGCAAGTCGGGGTTTGTCTGAGTTTCCTAGTTCCGACTAGTACTTGAACACGGCATTAGAAGCGCGTACACCTCTGTCACAAACAGTCGCCAATGCTAGAAACCATTCAAGGCGATATTAGGTTGCCATTCAATGGATAGGTATGTGTTACAAAGGGAATAATGAGTCTTGTTGGGGGTCCTTTTGCCTGCTAAATCCCCGAAGACAGTGCACAGCAGACGACATTTTAAATTCTCCCCTCAAAGAAAAAATCTTGCAGTTATTAAGTTTCAGTAACAGAATATGACTACAGTATAATTGCAGTCTAACTGCAAAATAACCACAGTTGAAGTACAGTTTACTTGCAAACTTACTGCAGTAGACAGCACAGGTGATCTTCGATGGACCATAACTGAATGCACAACTAGTCCGATACTTTTATTGTAGACATTAAAACACACACGCACGCACACCCGCACCCGCACACCACACACACACACACACACACACACACACACACACACACACACACACACACACACAGAGCTAGTAATACCCCCAATACATACAAGACTAAGTAGAACACCTACTCATTATTATTATTATTATTTACTCATTCAATTGTTTTTCTTTATTCTTTATTTTTACTATTTTCTACATTGCAGAATAATAGTGAAGACATCAAAACTATGAAATAACACATATGGAATCATGTAGTAACCAAAATAGTGTTAAACAAATCAAAATATATTTTATATTTGAGATTGTTCAAATAGTCCCCCCTTTGCCTTGATGACAGCTTTGCACACTCTTGGCATTCTCTCAACCAGCTTCATGAGATAGTCACCTGGAATGCGTTTCAATTAACAGGTGTGCCTTGTTAAAAGTTAATTTGTGGAATTTCTTTCCTTCTTAATGTGTTTGAGCCAATCAGTTGTGTTGTGACAAGGTAGGGGGATATACAGAAGATAGCCCTATTTGGTAAAAGACCAAGTCCATATTATGGCAAGAACAGCTCAAATAAGGAAAGAGAAATGACAGTCCATCATTACTTTAAGACATGAAGGTCAGTCAATCCGGAAAATTTCAAGAACTTAGAAAGTTTCTTCAAGTGCAGTCGCAAAAACCATCAAGCGCTATGATGAAACTGGCTCTCATGAGGACCGCCACAGGAATGGAAGACCCAGAGTTACCTCTGCTGCAGAGGATAAGTTCATTAGAGTTACCAGCCTCATAAATTGCAGCCCAAATAAATGCTTCACAGAGTTCAAGTCACAGACACATCTCAACATCAACTGTTCAGAGGAGACTATGTGAATCAGGCCTTCATGGTCGAATTGCTGCAAAGAAACCACTACTAAAGGACACCAATAAGAAGAAGAGACTTGCTTGGGCCAAGAAACACGAGCAATGGACATTAGACCGGTGGAAATCTGTCCTTTGGTCTGGAGTCCAAATTTGAGATTTTTTGTTCCAATCACTGTGTCTTTGTGAGACGCTGTGTGAGTGAACGGATGATCTATGCATGTGTATTCCCCACTGTAAAGCATTGAGGAGGAGGTGTTATGGTGTGGCGGTGCTTTGCTGGTGACACTGTCTGTGATTTATTTAGAATTGAAGGCACACTTAACCAGCATGGCTAGCACAGCATTCTGCAGCGATATGCCATCACATCTGGTTTGGGCTTAGTGGGACTATCATTTGTTTTTCAACAGGACAATGACCCAACACACCTACAGGCTGTGTAAGGGTTATTTTACCAAGAAGGAGAGTGATGGAGTGCTGCATCAGATGACCTGGCTTCCACAATCCCCCGATCTCAACCAAATTGAGATAGTTTGGGATGATTCGGACGGCAGACTGAAGGAAAAGCAGCCAACAAGTGCTCAGCATATGTGGGAACTCCTTCAAGACTGTTGGAAAAGCATTCCAGGTGAATCTGGTTGAGAGAATGCCAAGAGTCCTTCAAGAGTGTGCAAAGCTGTCATCAAGGCAAAGAGTGGCTATTTGAAGAATCTCAAATATAAAATATATTTTGATTTGTTTAACACTATTTTGGTTACTACATGATTCCATATGTGTTATTTCATAGTTTTGATGTCTTCACTATTATTCTGCAATGTAGAAAATAGTAAAAAATAAAGAAAAACCCTTGAATGAGTTGGTGTTCTAAAACCTTTGACCAGTAGTGTAAATGTTATTGTTTCTTCTCACTTTTTTTTTTTTTCCAGTTGTCATGCAATTGTCAATACCGTTCACTGTGCACTTATTCCCTGGACTAAGAGAGCTTTTAGCCCAGTGCTAAGCGACTGCTTACACTTGCACATATTAATGTATGATAGGACCAACCTTAACCCAGGGCTAGCCAATCACAGTCACCTAATTTGAATATTCTACTCCAGAAATGTGACAGTCGGTTTCAGTTAGCCCTGCTTGTGTGAACACAGGCTAAGCTAGCCCAGGGCCAGTCTTAGCCTAGGGCTAAGGCAAGCCAGGGGCTAAGAACAATGCAGTGTGAAAAGGCCTGAATAACTGTGCACTGAGTAGATTCAAGTATAAGCCTTTCAAACATTTCTGTATTTGCACTCCCTCCCCATTCCCCAAGAATGCAAAGCTTATAGCCTTGTAGGCTCTAAAATGTATTGATCAGTGCATAGCCTACCCATTTTATTCATCCACGATGAAGACCTTAAATTGATAACTTAGTTTCTTGACTCAAAGTCCACATCCAATAAAGTGTGTTTATTCAATATTAAAGTAACGATATATGACAACCTTTCTATTAATTCAGAATAGATCATAGCCCACCCAAAAGCCATCACAAAAGTACAAGAATGTTGGTGGATGGATGTAGGTTAAGCAACAGCTGAACGAAGTGTTAAGGCTAAAAGGACGTTTTTTTAAAATATATTGTAAAGTGGTTGTCCCACTGGCTATTATAAGGTGAATGCACCAATTTGTAAGTCGTTCTGGATAAGATCGTCTGCTAAATGACGAAAATGTAATGTAAATGTAAATGTAAATGTCGCTGCCACCTGTAGCTTTATCCAGTTTTTGCCACTTTGGGCACCTGCATAGGAAATGAACAAAAGGTTCTGACTAGACTATGGTGTTGTAGGTTAGATAGTGCCTAGACATTTTTAGTGTCAACGGCATTCTCCTGCAGGTATCCCCAGTTGTGTGTAAGACTTCCGAGACACCCATTACCCATTTGAGTAGAACAAACAACTTAGTTTTTAACAACATAAATATCTGCCTTTCCAAGTTTTGCATACATTCTCTGCTGAATTGGTCATGCTTTTTTGGCTGATGATGATTCTAAGCTGAGTCATGTCTGGTGTTCATTATACTAGCTTCAGTGTGATCTTACATTCCATCTCTAGTGCACCTAGCATAACATGCCACAGCTACATCAAACACAGGTGACCTTAGCAGCCTAGCTGTCACGGCCTCCCGCCACCGCCATCCCCAATGTCAACACTGGCCTCCTTCCTCCTGGGACTGAAGGAACATGAGAGAGAGAGAGAGAGAGAGAGAGAACCAATGTACCAAAATGCACTTCCAACTTCGACTGCAGTTGTTATTTTCATGTCAGTTGGTCTTGTTTTAGAAAAGGACACATAGCTTCATAAATTCCATCTGCCTGCTCAGGCTTGTGGACTTGTTTGTACTGTGAGGGTGGACTTGCTTGTAACGCACGCATGCACACACACGTACACATGCACCCACACACACGTACACACACGTACACACACACACACACACACACACACACACACACACACACACACACACACACACACACACACACACACACACACACACACACACACACACACACACACACACACACACACACACACACACACACACACACACGAGCCACTGACCACCTTAGATGTGTTACACAATCATTCTTTCATTAACACATCACTATTCTGATCTATCATCGGCTCCTTGTTACAAGTCTGTCATCTACTCTTTAATACACGGTTTTATCATTGGCTGTTTACAACAGGGATCTGTCATATGGGGCCCTCACCATTCTGAGCTGTTATCGTCTCACCATCCCAAGCTGTCAGTTTGCCTGGGATGCTAATTGCTAGCCTCAGTGCTAAAACTGTCTCCATTCCTATTAAATTAAGCAAAATAATAGGACTGGAGAGAAGCCAAATAGATGAGAGACGAACGCCATCTCCAATCTGATGGGTTGAGAATAAAAAGTCATCCATCTGTGAAGACAAAGCTAGCTATGGTGCATTCGGAAAGTATTCAGACCCCTTGACTTTTTCCAAATTTTGTTACGTTACAGCCTTATTCTAAAATTGATTAAATAGTTTTTTCCTCCTCATCAATCTACACACAATACCCCATAATGACAAAGCAAAAACAGATTTTTATAAATTTTAGCAAATGTATAAAAAAATAACAACTGAAAAATCACATTTACATTAGTATTCAGACCCTTTACTCAGTACTTTGTTGAAGCACGTTTGGCAGCGATCACAGCCTCGAGTCTTCTTGGGTATGACGCTAAAAGCTTGGCACACCTGTATTTGGGGAGTTTCTCCCATT